GGCAGACGTGTGATGGGTCGATGCGTTTGTACAAACAAACAACAAACCAATGTCGGCGGAAATATTGTTTTCTGCAAGTTTTTTCAGAACTAATTCCTGACACAGACTTTGAGCCTGAGAGGCATCAACACAACATATGTTAGTGAACATCGCCATTTCACTCAGTGCCAAGCATCTGCTCCTCCCATCTGTGTGTTGGTGTGTGTGTGTGTGTGTCAGTGACAGTGACATGGAATGTTTACTGAGGAATTTTTCATCCTTCCATCCACATTCCTCTTGCGCTAAAACTGAGTGGATCATGGGCACAACAGGATGTCACACAAGGTATTTAACAGGGATTTGTGTCTGCTGTCGGCTCCACCTCTGAGCGTCTGCTCCAGTCTGAAGTCTTACCTTAACAATATACAAATCAATAAATAATCTACTTTTCCTTATTTCTGCCAAGCCCTTCAGGGGTCGCCACATCTGATCATCTGCCTCCATCTCAATGTATCTCAGGGTCGGCAAACCTTTTGGCTCACAGGCCAAAATGAGGTTCAAACTGTGACCGACAGGCCGTGTCAATATTGGTTGGATCTAAAATGTTTGGGTGAAATAATTTAATAAAATGTACACGATTAAACCCAAATCTTCAAATATTATTTGGCACATTTGATATCTGATGCCATCTAGTGGCATCAACTAAAATTACAGTCTGTTGCATTCACTGCAATGCATGAAACAGAAGCATTGCCATCAATCTTTCCCATACACCGCACCTGTGTTTCGTGGGCCAAATTAAAAAGCCCAGCTGGTCATATTTCCCTCCGCGGGCCATAGTTTGCCCGTGTCAGCCCTATCTCCGGCCTCCTCTGCTGTCACTTTAACCATGTCCTCTTTTACAACATCTACAAATAATCATTTAAACTGTTCAGTCCTCAAAGGAGCTCCTGTTCCACCTTCACAACTGGAACCTGTGTCACCTGCTGATGCTGATCCTTTGATCACGTCCTTCTAAATGGAGCCAGCAGTTATGTCAAACAACATTGATAGCGCCTCCTGTTGATTCATGCTGTTAGATGCTTTAACATCAACCTGAGGCATTGGATCCTGAGCAAACAGTGGCTCCTTATAATTAATTCATAGTCTTCTCTTTTTTGCATTTCTGAGGGACACACAGTTGTTGTTTTTTTCTTCTGTTTGTGACGAGAAATAATTTGTTAACAAGCTGTTAATGAATGAACTGAATAGAAGTGAGTTAATATTTCTCACGAGCCTCTAACTGTAGATAAAGACCAACTCTCCCAGGAATCAGTAAATGAGTATGAAGCTTCTGATCAGAGAACATTTCCATGTGTGAGGTCAACTTTAAAACCTGATTTGTAAATTCAGCACTAGATTCCTCTCCCGGGAGAACGCAGAACTGTAGAACCCGTTCTCTGCTGCTTTCATTCATGTGTAGAACAGCGTGGCTTCCCTGACACTGTGTGTGTTTTAATGAGCTCCGTGTGTTAATGCTGCTGTCGGCCGCCCCTCTCTCCTTTTTCTACACTAATCTGATTCACGGTGGAGCAGTGGACCCTCTGATGTGTCACTCAGGAGGTTTGAGTTCCCGGAGCCTCCTACCTGATGAATGACTCTTTTTCTGCTTGATTCTGTTTAAAAATATTCCAGGTCTGAACGTCCTTGAACCCTGCTGCCATTTTTATTCTAATGTGAAGATCATTTTAATACATTTTGCTCAAATATTCCTCCTCAGCCAGGCTTTCTGTTGATGCCTCTCCTGGGTCCTTATTTTTATATTATATCACTTTTTTTTCTCAAAATACAGTGGGGTCCTCAACTTACGTTGGGGTTCTGTTCCTACGTCCAAACGTAACACCATTATTATGCTAAGTTTCCAAAATAACAACTCAAACAAAAGAAAGTGAATAAAGCACAATCCACTGTATGGCGTACAACCATATAGCCCCACGTGATACCCCAGAATGGTGGAACAAGACTTTCTTAATAGTTTATTGGAGATGGCTATGTCACCACAAAACGCCACGGGTCGAGGACGTCGTAAACCGAGGAACCCCTGTATTTAAAAATGTGAAAGAAAGTGGTAAAGGGCCCTGTGTTGTCCTAACTGTTGCTCTCACAGTTGCTACGTGATACTGACAAAAATACAAATATAATTGTTGTGAAAGTGACCTAACAAAAAGACTCAGTGACCTGTTGACTCTGACGTCAGTCGAACGGTTCATCACAGTCAGTTATTCTCACTGATGACTTTACATAAACATCCATTCGCCACTGCAGTCACACCAGAACCTTCCCTGAAACGCTAACCACAACCACTTAACCCTAACAAGGTGACCATAACCAACTCCCCATAACACATTAATCACAATAAGTTGACAACTATTGTTTGATCCTGGTTAAGTAGCCTTCAACTGCTAACCATAACGCAGTAAATTAACCAAATAACCACAACCAGGTAACCATAAAGCCGGACATACACTGTACGATTTTTGAAAATCTTGTTATCATCTACAATGTACGGCCAAAGCTCACGATTTATGTACTCACACTGTACAGTCCGATCATTGAACACGACCAGAGAGCTCACACTGTGCGGGTGAAAACGGCCCGTCGACCCCTGCTGACTGTCCTGTCTATTGACAGCTTTCAATAAAGATTTATGTGAACGCTCCAACGCCAGTTATTAGCAACATCCATCCATCCATCCATTTTCATCCGCTTATCCGTTACCGTGTCACGGGGGCAGTAGTCGCCACCCAAATCACATTGCACCGTACCAACCCCCCCAGAACCTTCCTGTGGGTGGTGAGTCCACTGAAAGGTACCAACCGCCCTAACCAGGATTCGATCTTGCCCAGGAGGTGAACCCTGGGGTTCCACACCAATGACAGAGACTAGAGCCAATAATTCAACTGTCCCTTCACTAATCAATACTGATACATCATCAGTTCATATGTTGTTATTTACACACATTGTGGGAA